AACAATTTTTTGGCCCTAATAACGTTCTGGGGCCCTCATAAACATTCGTGTCTGGCAGTAACAATTCTGTGTCGTGCAGAAAAATTCTGTGGCCCTAAGTAACGTTCTGGGGCCTTCAAAAAATTCTTTGTCGGTCGAAAAACAATTCTGTCGTGCGAGTAACAATTCTTGGCCCTAAGTTAAAGTTTCTAGTGCCCTAAGTAACAATTCTCTGGCACTCAGTAACTATTCCTTCTGTCCCTGAAGTAACAATTCTCTGTCTCTTCTTTCTCTATTCCACTCTGGGGGGTGCACCCACAGTCACTTGTTTCATAACAATTCTGTCTGTCCCTGAGTAAAAATTTCTTTGGCCCAAAGTAAAGTTCTGGTCCCTGAGTACCAATACTCAGGCACTCAGTAGACAATTCTGTCTGACTGAGTAACAATTCTCTGGTCACTCAGTACAATTCTGATCTGTCCCTGATTAAAAATTCTGTGGCCCTAAGTAAAGTTTTCTGTGGCCCTAAGTAACTAATTCTCTGGCACTCGACCCCAGTAACAAATCTGTCTGTCCCTGATTAACAATTCTCTGGCACTCAGTAACAATTCCTGTCTGTCCCGAGTAAAAATTCCTGTGGCCCTAATTAAAGTTTCTGTGTGCCCTCAAGTAACAATTCTCTGGGCAACTCAGTAACAATTCTGTCTGTCCCTGAGTAACAATTCCAGCCACTCAGTAACATCAATCTGTCTGCTCCACTAAGTAACTGTTTCTGCTGGCCCCTAAGTAACAGTTTACTTCTTGCCACTCAAGTAACAATTCTCTGTGTCGTTCTAAGTAACACACTTCTTGATGTCCCGTCCCTGAAGTATGAATTCTCCCCCTCTAACCCACTAGCAATTCTGTTGGCCTAAATAACGTTGTCTGTGGCCCTAAGTAACAGTGTCTGTGTGCTCCTCAGTACACAATTCTGTGTCCCTCAGTAACAATTGCTGTGTCAGTCCCCTAGAAGTAACAATCGTTTCTGTGGCCCCCCTCCCCCGCTCCTCCCCCTCCCATAATGTACAAAAGAGCGGTCTGCCCTCTGTGGCAATGACTGACAGGCAACGTTAATAGCTGGCCCTAAGCATAACCGTATTCTTTGTAGTCCGACTCAAGATAAACAATCCTGGCTGTCTGTCTGCTAAGTAACAATTGGCTGATGTACTGATCACATGTAGTTGAGTAATCAATTTTTTTTACTGGGTCATGCGCCTAGTTCTGCGCGCCATAAGTCCCCAGACAATTCCTGCTCCGTCGCCGCACAATGTCAGCCGCATTTTCTGAAACAATTTTCGATTGTTCGCCGCGTCCGAAATTAGGCTATTTTTTCGGATATTCGGCACGAATCGATATTTTTCCGATATTCGACTCGAATTCCACTTGGCTCTATACTTTCGATTCTGCTCATCTCTAGTCATATTAACAAGTGCGTAAACAGAAACCAGCAAACAAAGTAATAACAAAACTGTGCAAAGGTTATATAGATGATCCAATACAAAACTCAAATCATGATATACATTATATATATGTGATCCATTGCTTAGTTGAGATAACCCTTGCAACATGCTAATACTGCCCAAATGTTTCAAATTAATCTGCTGCGAATAGTGGCCAACAGTTTCGTATAAACATATGTCAGTGTGCAGTGCTCTGTCCAGCTCAAAAAAAGCAGTAATACAAGTATGCTCGTATTATACCCTTCCTCCCGTGTCAATAACGATCCGCTCTAAATGGAACTCAACCTAAGTAGTGTGGTCTACAATAGAATATGTATTGGTTCTGTTCCACCAGGTACTCCAGTTTCTGCTGGTCCTAATGGTGGACCCTCTGTACACTTGCAGTAAGTTCTCTAAGGACCTCCTGTCCACTAAGGAACACATTTCTGTGCTTCTACTCACATTTAATAAAAAAAAAGCTTGCATATCTCAAAAGTGTTCAAAAAGTACCTCTACTACGGAAAACATCACGCCTGGCTCCACCCTACACATTGCATCACAGGTCACTGTTAATACTGTAATAGTAATGCATACTGTGAGCCTGGGTGGTCATGGAGGTCACACTACTAAGGTGAGAGTATTGTGAGCATGCTGGTAACACAGGAGGATGGTCATATACCACATACTGTATTACTGCTGTTTTTTGGGCTGGAAAGAGCACCTGTCACACACATAGATGTTATTTAAACTATTGGCACCATTACATAATATTTGAACATTTGGACTGTTTTAGAACATTGCAAGGATTTTTTCATTGAGCACTGGATCACTATATATATATATATATATATATATATATATATATATATATATATATATATTGTACTTGATTTTGTATGATCATCTAGATCAGTTTGAACTGTTTGTTATGTACTTTGTTGCACATTTGTGTTATGTAGCTGTACAATGACCATTAGTACAGAATATTTTAATTTGAAATTATAGGTAGCGCAGCACTATACAACAATTTTTATTTATGTATTAGTCCACTGTGGGAACACAGTAGAGTGGTAGCTGATATTTACTCACTATTTTCTAAGTTTGGGAGTGCAGGAGTTATCTTTTTAATTTCGGTCACCTTGGATTGCCCTATGGGGATTTCCAGGGAAAACTGTCAAAAGTGGCTCATGCAAATAGCAGCGGAAGCGAGACCATCTAGGATCAATACTAGGTGCTATGTTTTAAGGCAAGTACACATTATATGAGTTTGTGCTTTTTCATTTTTCATTTCAGAGGTTTACAACCATTTTAATTGTCAGTTCTCAGGACAGAGTACATTCAGTTTGGCTATTATTTCCCCATAGCTGAGGATTGGTTGATTGGTTTTGCTTTTTGCATACTGGAATTTTAAACCGAACTCCATATTTCCAGATGAGGCCTTATTAATGCTTTGTACAGGGGCAACATTATGTCTCTCTCTGGAGTCGATACCTCTTTTAGCACAAGTGTTAGGAACTTGGGATCCTAACAATAAGAAAGTATATTGCTTTCTTTTAAAAATGCACTTTGGCATGGTATTATTAAAGGATAAGTTAACCTTTCGTATACTTAGGGGTGTAACATGTTATGAGATAACTGTCCCCTGCACCCCCCAATTCCCCATTTTGACAGCTAGCGGGGGATCTTCTCCCCCCACTAGCTGTCACAATTTAAAAAAAAAAAACAGTGTGTCTGTGAATGCGAAACTACAAGCCCTGGCAGCCTTAGCAGCTGACGGGTTGTAGTTCTCATTGAACTACCACGGCACTGTGAGCACTGTGGGAGCTCATTGATTCTTCCTGTCAGTAAGTTTCAACTTGCCCGTAGGAGGTATGAGCAAGCATATACACTGACAGGCCTGCAGGAGACGTGCATGGCATCAGCGATCTGCTGATCACTGGTGCAATGCTGTACAGGTTCCCATGTGCATTTATTAGTTTTTGTTAAAAGGTGAACTTATCCTTTAAGTCTATCATCTACCAGACCACCCAAATACTTTTTGACCCTTGACCCCCCATCATATGTACTCCTCTTAAAATGTATTGTGCATGCATGTTTTTAGTCCGTCCCCCCCCATGTGCATACCTTTACATTTATTAACATTTCAATCTCATTTGTCACATATTTGCCCAATCAAATGGTGCTTTTTATAAGTTGGTGGAATCCTGTAAGATTGACACCGTTCCATAGCTTGGTGTCATCTGCAAACACAGAAATTGTATTTTTAATCCCACCATTTATATCAGTTCAAATAAGTTAAAAAGTAATGGTCCCAACACTAGGTCTTAGGGTACACCACTAATGGCCTTGGAATATTCATAGTTTGTATTCACTAGTCTGTGAATATGGTTCTTTAGCCAGTTTTATTTTTCATTTTCATTTTCAATTTCCATTTACAATTACCAACAGAATTTTCTAAACCTATAGACTTTTACTTGAAATCCTTTTGGATTACTTGTGCATAAAAAGAAAACATTTGTTTGACAGATTTAGACTTTTGTGAACCCATGCTATCTATTGCTTATAATTTTATTTTATAGCAAAAACTCTGTGTAGTCTTTTATCAAACACCCAAGTATCTTTCTGACTATGTAAGTTAAAGCAGAACTCCACCAAAAAGGGAAGTTCCACTTTTCCACCTCCCCCGCTTTTGGAAATTGTTTTTTGGTGGGGGCAGGTACTTGGTTTTGAAATGTACCCACTGCCACTTCACTATGTTTGGCTGTAGCCTTCTGGGGCAGGTTCCAGAACACTTTGGAACAATTCACAAAGCACAGCATAGCTTGTGCATACACAGTCGGAAGCTGGCTGTGAAGCTGCAAGGCTTTATCGCTGGTTTCCCTTAGTAAACACATCGGCGTTGTATGGTGTTTGAGAGGAGACTAAAACTCCTCTTTAAACTAACTGGTCTGTAGTTCCTTAAAGACTTGGTAAAAAACAGTCATTAAAAAGTCTATGTATATTAAAAACAATGAATTCAAAATAACAGAACTCAAACACTTTAAGGACGTATGAGTGCATGCCATATGTTTCAGATGCTTTATTTACCCTTATTTTGTCTATATATTTCTGTATCATATCAATTTTGAGCCATTTTAGTTCTTTTTGCAAATATTATGCCCATTTGGGGCTACATCAATACTTTCCTAATTAAGCACTTGAACTCTCCCATTTTGCTTTGTATACACTGAGCTGAAGAAGGTATTTAATCAATTTTCCTTTTCTTTATCCCCACTTTTCCTTCATTCTTATAATATTTAAACTGGGGCTATGTAAATTCTTTGCCCATTATGAACTTGAATTCCCCATTTTCCTTTGTACACACTAAGCTGAATAAAGAATTGAACCATTTTTCCCTTTTTATTATCCTCACTAGAGATGAGCGAAGTATTCAAAAATTCGATTCGGCTGATTCGGCAAATTCGAGGAATAAATTTGATTCGATGCAAATATATTCGCTGCGAATTTAACTTATAAAAAGGGTGTTTCTAGGCTTCAGAGAGCCTTTATATTAGTGCAGAACACTGTACCTTTAATTTAAATGCCCTTGGAGTCTGCTGGGGAAGAGAAATAATACTGTCAGTCAGTATGACATGCAGATGAGTGCCGTCGATCTTAGAATCACCGCACACTTCACTCATTTGGGCAGTCACGGGGCCAAAACCAGAGTGTGGAGCCACAGTGTGGCGGTGGAGGCAGCAGCAATGGGAGGCCATACAGCACCCTATGACAAAATGGAACCCACCAGCAGTGTGAGGAGACCTGAAAGTGGCACATGGCAGAGTGTGGCGATGGAGACAGCAGCAATGGGAGGCCGTACAGGGACCCATGACACACTCTGGACCTGGCAGCAGCATGAGGAGGCGGTACAGGGGCCCATGGCAGATTACGGGCCTGGCAGCAGCAATGGGAGGCCCGTAATCTGCCAGCACCCTATGACAAAATGGAACCCACCAGCAGTGTGAGGAGACCTGAAAGTGGCACATGGCAGAGTGTGGCGATGGAGACAGCAGCAATGGGAGGCCGTACAGGGACCCATGAGACACTCTGGACCTGGCAGCAGCATGAGGAGGCGGTACGGGGGCCCATGGCAGCAGATTACGGGCCTGGCAGCAGCAATGGGAGGCCCGTAATCTGCCAGCACCCTATGACAAAATGGAACCCACCAGCAGTGTGAGGAGACCTGAAAGTGGCACATGGCAGAGTGTGGCGATGGAGACAGCAGCAATGGGAGGCCGTACAGGGACCCATGACAGACTACGGGCCTGGCAGCAGCATGAGGAGGCGGTACAGGGGCCCATGGCAGATTACGGGCCTGGCAGCAGCAATGGGAGGCCCGTAATCTGCCAGCACCCTATGACAAAATGGAACCCACCAGCAGTGTGAGGAGACCTGAAAGTGGCACATGGCAGAGTGTGGCGATGGAGACAGCAGCAATGGGAGGCCGTACAGGGACCCATGAGACACTCTCTGGACCTGGCAGCAGCATGAGGAGGCGGTACGGGGGCCCATGGCAGATTACGGGCCTGGCAGCAGCAATGGGAGGCCCGTAATCTGCCAGCACCCTATGACAAAAATGGAACCCACCAGCAGTGTGAGGAGACCTGAAAGTGGCACATGGAGAGTGTGGCGATGGAGACAGCAGCAATGGGAGGCCGTACAGGGACCCATGAGACACACTGGACTGGCAGCAGCATGAGGAGGCGGTACGGGGGCCCATGGCAGATTACGGGCCTGGCAGCAGCAATGGGAGGCCCGTAATCTGCCAGCACCCTATGACAAAATGGAACCCACCAGCAGTGTGAGGAGACCTGAAAGTGGCACATGGCACAGTGTGGCGATGGAGACAGCAGCAATGGGAGGCCGTACAGGGACCCATGAGACACTCTGGACCTGGCAGCAGCATGAGGAGGCGGTACGGGGCCCCATGGCAGATTACGGGCCTGGCAGCAGCAATGGAGGCCCGTAATCTGCCAGCACCCTATGACAAAATGGAACCCACACCAGCAGTGTGAGGAGACCTGAAAGTGGCACATGGCAGAGTGTGGCGATGGAGACAGCAGCAATGGGAGCCGTACAGGGACCCATGAGACACTCTGGACCTGGCAGCAGCATGAGGAGGCGGTACAGGGGCCCATGGCAGATTACGGGCCTGGCAGCAGCAATGGGAGGCCCGTAATCTGCCAGCACCCTATGACAAAAAAATGGAACCCACCAGCAGTGTGAGGAGACCTGAAAGTGGCACATGGCAGAGTGTGGCGATGGAGACAGCAGCAATGGGGAGGCCGTACAGGGCTGACCCATGAGCAGAGATACACTCTGGACCTGGCAGCAGCATGAGGAGGCGGTACAGGGGCCCATGGCAGATTACGGGCCTGGCAGCAGCAATGGGAGGCCCGTAATCTGCCAGCACCCTATGACAAAATGGAACCCACCAGCAGTGTGAGGAGACCTGAAAGGCACATGGCAGAGTGTGGCGATGGAGACAGCAGCAATGGGAGGCCGTACAGGGACCCATGAGACACTCTGGACCTGGCAGCAGCATGAGGAGGCGGTACAGGGGCCCATGGCAGATTACGGGCCTGGCAGCAGCAATGGGAGGCCCGTAATCTGCCAGCACCCTATGACAAAATGGAACCCACCAGCAGTGTGAGGAGACCTGAAAGTGGCACATGGCAGAGTGTGGCGATGGAGACAGCAGCAATGGGAGGCACGTTGGGACCCATGACACACTGGACCTGGCAGCAGCATAGGACGGTACTTCGGGCCCATGACAGATTGCCACCCTGAGTAGCAGCAATTTGCCCCCGTAATCTGCCAGCACCCTATGACAAAATGGAACCGGCACCACTACTCCGTGTGTAGGCTGCAGTGGAGCTGGTGTGGCTACTAGACAGCATCCGTGTCCCTGAGTTTGCCTCCACTGACCTGCTGCGACAATTCTGTGGACCCTGGGCAACAACATGACTGTGAGGCTCGCTGCAATTCTGGCACCCTCTTCAGATTCTGATGATGCCTGGAAGCAATAGCCCCTGATGACGACGAGGGCTGCCAAGTAACAATTCTGTGTCCTGCATCAATTCTGTGTCCCATCATCACAAATGGAACCCACCAGCAATGTGAGGAGACCTGAAAGTAACATTAGGGTCTCCGCCTCACTACTAGCCCCCCTCAGGCTGCGTGTGGGTAACAGGAGGACCTGGCAGACAATCTCTAGACCGGCTACCGAGCCACATCCTCGCCATTACTTCTTCGCCTGGCTGCTGAAGAGGCGGATGTCCCCCCCGTTCCTGACCGCCCTCTGTTAGCTCTTCCCACTGTACAGTGGGGCTGAGCCCACAGCATGCGATACTTCGCTTGTGTGAGGGAACACCAAAGGACAGGGGCAGTAGAGGACACGTGATTTCAGTGGGCAATTCTGTCCCCCGCCATGCCAACTAACGGTTGTGTCTGACCCTGAACCCACCTGTGTCCGTTGGCTGTAGGTGTCAGAGGTGACCTGGGAAGAGGAATTCTGTGACCGAGCCAACCAATCGATGACGGCAGGGTTGTGTCGGTGGAGAACACGACCGCTGTGATGACACCGAGGAGCACAATTCTGGTCTGCTGCGACTAGTGCTGCCTCGACCCCCTTCTCTGCTGCCACGTCTGCTCTCGCTCCTGAAACATTGCCTCCTCTGCCACTCCCTGCGTGTTGTCTGACATACTCTTTAATTCAAACAATTCTGTGTCCCTGAGTAACAATTCTGTGTCCCTGAGTAACAATTCTGTGTCCCTCAGTAACAATTCTGTGTCCCTGAGTAACAATTCTGTGTCCCCTGAGTAACAATTCTGTGTCCCCTCAGTAACAATTCTGTGTCCCCTGAGTAACAATTCTGTGTCCCCTGAGTAACAATTCTGTGTCCCTCAGTAACAATTCTGTGTCCCTCAGTAACAATTCTGTGTCCCTGAGTAACAATTCTGTGTCCTGTCCCTGAGTAACAATTCTGTGTCCCCCTGAGTAACAATTCTGTGTCCCTGAGTAACAATTCTGTGTCCCTGAGTAACAATTCTGTTCTGAGTAACAATTCTGTGTCCTGAGTAACAAATTCTGTGTCCCTCATGAGTAAACAATTCTGTGTCCCTCAGTAACAATTCTGTGTCCCTGAGTAACAATTCTGTGTCCCTCAGTAACAATAACAATTCTTGTCCCTCAGTAACAATTCTGTGTCCCTCAGTAACAATTCTGTGTCTGTCCCTGAGTAACAATTCTGTGTCCCCCTGAGTAACAATTCTGTGTCCCTCAGTAACAATTCTGTGTCCCTCAGTAACAATTCTGTGTCCCCTGAGTAACAATTCTGTGTCCCCTGAGTAACAATTCTGTGTCCCTGAGTAACAATTCTGTGTCCCTGAGTAACAATTCTGTGTCCCTGAGTAACAATTCTGTGTCCCCTGAGTAACAATTCTGTGTCCCTGAGTAACAATTCTGTGTCCCTCAGTAACAATTCTCTGTGTCCCTGAGTAACAATTCTGTGTCCCTCAGTAACAATTCTGTGTCTGTCCCTGAGTAACAATTCTGTGTCCCTGAGAGTAACAATTCTGTGTCCCTCAGTCCCTGAGTGTCCCTGAGTAAATTCTGTGTCCCTGAGTAACAATTCTGTGTCCCTGAGTAACAATTCTGTGTCCCTCAGTAAGTAACAATTCTGTGTCCCTCAGTAACAATTCTGTGTCTGTGTCCTGAGTAACAATTCTGTGTCCCTCAGTAACAATTCTGTGTCCCTCAGTAACAATTCTGTGTGTCTGTCCCTGAGTAACAATTCTGTGTCCCCTCAGTAACAATTCTGTGTCCCTCAGTAACAATTCTGTGTCCCTGAGTAACAATTCTGTGTCCCTGAGTAACAATTCTGTGTCCCTGAGTAACAATTCTGTGTCCCTCAGTAACAATTCTGTGTCCCTGTAACAATGTAACTGTGTCTGTCCCTGAGTAACAATTCTGTGTCCCTCAGTAACAATTCTGTGTCCTCAGTAACAATTCTGTGTCCCTCAGTAACAATTCTGTGTCCCCCTGAGTAACAATTCTGTGTCCCTGAGTAACAATTCTGTGTCCCTGAGTAACAATTCTGTGTCCCTGAGTAACAATTCTGTGTCCCTCAGTAACAATTCTGTGTCCCTCAGTAACAATTCTGTGTCCCTGAGTAACAATTCTGTGTCTGTCCCTGAGTAACAATTCTGTGTCCCTCAGTAACAATTCTGTGTCCCTGAGTAACAATTCTGTGTCCCTCAGTAACAATTCTGTGTCCCTCAGTAACAATTCTGTGTCCCTCAGTAACAATTCTGTGTCCCTCAGTAACAATTCTGTGTCCCCTGAGTAACAATTCTGTGTCCCTCAGAGTAACAATTCTGTGTCCCTCAGAGTAACAATTCTGTGTCCCTGAGTAACAATTCTGTGTGTCCCTGAGTAACAATTCTGTGTCCCTGAGTACAATTCTGTGTCCCTCAGTAACAATTCTGTGTCCCTCAGTAACAATTCTGTGTCCCTCAGTAACAATTCTGTGTCCCCTGAGTAACAATTCTGTGTCCCTGAGTAACAATTCTGTGTCCCTGAGTAACAATTCTGTGTCCCTGAGTAACAATTCTGTGTCCCTCAGTAACAATTCTGTGTCCCTGAGTAACAATTCTGTGTCCCTCAGTAACAATTCTGTGTCCCTCCCTGAGTAACAATTCTGTGTCCCTCAGTAACAATTCTGTGTCCCTCAGTAACAATTCTGTGTCCCTCAGTAACAATTCTGTGTCCCTCAGTAACAATTCTGTGTCCCCCTGAGTAACAATTCTGTGTCCCCCTGAGTAACAATTCTGTGTCCCCTCAGTAACAATTCTGTGTCCCTGAGTAACAATTCTGTGTCCCCTGAGTAACAATTCTGTGTCCCTGAGTAACAATTCTGTGTCCCTCAGTAACAATTCTGTGTCCCTCAGTAACAATTCTGTCCCCTGAGTAACAATTCTGTGTCTGTCCCTGAGTAACAATTCTGTGTCCCTCAGTAACAATTCTGTGTCCCCCTCAGTAACAATTCTGTGTCCCTCAGTAACAATTCTGTGTCCCTGAGTAACAATTCTGTGTCCCTCAGTAACAATTCTGTGTCCCTGAGTAACAATTCTGTGTCCCTCAGTAACAATTCTGTGTCCCTGAGTAACAATTCTGTGTCCCTGAGTAACAATTCTGTGTCCCTCAGTAACAATTCTGTGTCTGTGTCCCTGAGTAACAATTCTGTGTCCCTCAGTAACACAATTCTGTGTCCCTGAGTAACAATTCTGTGTCCCTGAGTAACAATTCTGTGTCCCTGAGTAACAATTCTGTGTCCCCTGAGTAACAATTCTGTGTCCCTCAGTAACAATTCTGTGTCCCTGAGTAACAATTCTGTGTCCCTCAGTGTTCTGTGTCCCTGAGTAACAATTCTGTGTCCCTGAGTAACAATTCTGTGTCCCCTGAGTAACAATTCTGTGTCCCCCTCAGTAACAATTCTGTGTCCCTCAGTAACAATTCTGTGTCTGTCCCTGAGTAACAATTCTGTGTCCCTGAGTAACAATTCTGTGTCCCTCAGTAACAATTCTGTGTCCCTGAGTAACAATTCTGTGTCCCTCAGTAACAATTCTGTGTGTGAGTAACAATTCTGTGTCCCTGAGTAACAATTCTGTGTCCCTGAGTAACAATTCTGTGTCCCTGAGTAACAATTCTGTGTCCCTCAGTAACAATTCTGTGTCTGTCCCTGAGTAACAATTCTGTGTCCCTGAGTAACAATTCTGTGTCCCTCAGTAACAATTCTGTGTCCCTCAGTAACAATCTGTGTCCCCTGAGTAACAATTCTGTGTCCCTGAGTAACAATTCTGTGTCCCTGAGTAACAATTCTGTGTCCCTCAGTAACAATTCTGTGTCTGTCCCTGAGTAACAATTCTGTGTCCCCTGAGTAACAATTCTGTGTCCCTGAGTAACAATTCTGTGTCCCTGAGTAACAATTCTGTGTCCCTCAGTAACAATTCTGTGTCCCTGAGTAACAATTCTGTGTCCCTGAGTAACAATTCTGTCCCCTGTAACAATTCTGTGTCCCTGAGTAACAATTCTGTGTCCCTGAGTAACAATTCTGTGTCCCTCAGTAACAATTCTGTGTCCCTGAGTAACAATTCTGTGTCCCCTCAGTAACAATTCTGTGTCCCTCAGTAACAATTCTGTGTCTGTCCCTGAGTAACAATTCTGTGTCCCTGAGTAACAATTCTGTGTCCCTGAGTAACAATTCTGTGTCCCTGAGTAACAATTCTGTGTCCCTGAGTAACAATTCTGTGTGTCCCTGAGTAACAATTCTGTGTCCCTGAGTAACAATTCTGTGTCCCTCAGTAACAATTCTGTGTCCCTCAGTAACAATTCTGTGTCCCTGAGTAACAATTCTGTGTCCCTGAGTAACAATTCTGTGTCCCTGAGTAACAATTCTGTGTCCCTCAGTAACAATTCTGTGTCCCTGAGTAACAATTCTGTGTCCCTGAGTAAACAATTCTGTGTCCCTCAGTAACAATTCTGT